CACACGTTGCGTGGCCCCATACGGAGCTCCGCCGAAGGAATTTCTGGCCGGGCCGCCGGAGGGCTTGCGCAAGCAGGTGGAGCAGTTCGCGGCGCGCACGAAGCGGTGCAGGAGGGAAGCCACGGCCCTCGCCAGTGAGCTCGGTTTCACCGAGTTTATCCGCGAGGCCTGACCTGAGGAGCGGCCCGCCACAGCCGCGCCTTCTTTCGGCTGTCCAACTGTTTGGCCTCGTGCCGCGGACGCCCTGCGCGCGTCGCTGGGACCCTCTCGGGGCGCTCAGCGCGCGTCGCGCGAACTCCGCGCTGCGCTCTGTCCAGCGCCTCGCTCGCCCTTCGTCGCTACGCCCGGCGGCCAGAGCCATGCGCGCTATCAGTTAGCCAGCAAGCAATCTCTGTTCCACACAGCGTACGAACCGTGCGCGTCATTGTGACCCCTTCGGGGCGACCTGCGCGCGTCGCGAGGGCTCCGCCTTGCGCTGCGCCCGCAGCCTTGGACTTTGGAGTGCGCGGGCAAAGGAAAAGGAAAAAGGAGGGGAGGAAGCGGGCGCGATCCTCGTGTGGGGCGTGCCGACATGGGCGTCGCGGCGCGCGGGCGCTGCCGTCGGGGTTCCCAGGGAAGCCCCCCTGCAGAGGCTTCCCCCCCTCAATTCGGCACACCTTCATACGGTTCTTGGCACCACAGGGAGCGCCACCGAAGAAGATATTCACAATTGCGGTACTCACAACTGCATATGGTTGGGTCCTTCGCCAGGATAATTTCTTATGTGTGCTCGCGCTACCACCCGCACGTGAACTGCGCGCCACTGGCCCGAGCCCTTCGAATTGGGTGAACGAAATCGGTGCCAGCACGGCTCAGAACCCGACAAAGCCTGGCATAGCCTGGGCCACCGAGCCGGGCAGAACGTGGGCCGAATTAAACGCCCCCACTGCTCCTCCGCGCTCGCTGCTGTCGGAGCGCGCACTTTCTGCGTTTACAGATTTTGCGCGGCCAGCCTGCGTGCCGGGCGCCGTTGTGCCCGCACCAGAGGCAGACCCACACCGAAGCCTGATCTTCACCACGCGCGCGGCTTGGCTGGGACACGGACGCGCACCTCTGCCCTCTGCCACGGCGGCAGTAGCGCCGCCATGCCGCGCACGCCGTGCGCAGGCGTTGCGGTTTCGTTCCCGACACCTCGCTTGGCAGAGCCTGGGCTGGGCCAGCGGCGGGCCACCATAATCCGAGTTCACGAAGCTGCCCGGCAACCTGTGCACTGATCTCGTGCGCGCAAGTGCACGTACGCGATCATTGTAAAGCGCGGGCCCCTTCGAAAAGCACAAGTGCCGTGCAGTTCCCTGGCACTAAGCAAGAAGAGCTGACCTTTGACGGCATGCGTTTCAAGTTGATCGGCGGCGAATTCGTACGTCCACAGACGGCCACCAGTGAAGCGCCCCACCGCGATCACCGCAGTCTGGCCCACTTTCGGGTCTTCGTGCGCACCTGACTCCGCGGAGTGCGCGACCGCCAGACTACAGAATGGCAGTTGCGGTACATGGTGGCGGACCAATGCTGCCAGGAGCTTCGTGAGGACAGGCTGGGCTACTGACCCCGCCGAACACACGGGCCCTTGGACCGGTTAATCGCCATCCCCAGCAGGAGACGCGGTTTCTTCCCGGCGACGGCCTTGGCCGCCAGAGCGGCCTTGGCCGCCGGAGCGGCGCTGGCAGAGCCACATAGCCACGCCAGCCTTTCTAGCAGGCACCCGATTCGACTCGGCTCCAAGCGACCCCCGCGTGCCAATTTGGACTCGCCCACGTCCAGTACGCCTTGCATGTGCGGTCGCTAGCAGAGCCTGGCGCCCTGCTGGTCACTTGCAGAGCCTGGCGGTCCATTGGAGCCTTGGACATGAGCACCCCCCCACAAGAGCGCACCGATATCATGCGCACAGACAACCTGAAATGGCAGTGGCGGACACCGAAAGCCCAGACACGCCGCCCCATCAAACCGATAGCCCAGGGCAGAAACACACGGGACACCGACGGGACACAGCATTCCATCGTAAGTCCAAAACACACGGGACACCGACAGGACACCAACGGGACACTCACGGAACACCGACGGGACACCATGGGACATCGATGGGACACCAACGGAACACCGACAGGACACTACGGCGGGACAACCCGACTATTGCCCGCCCACCGCGACGGGATACCGACGGGACAGCGATGGGACACCGGACATGGCGGGACACCCGGGCCACCGCCGAACCACCGGAGTGGGGCGGAGGACGGGCCAACGGCTCTGACCCGCCCACGCAGCGTCGCCTCGCCCGCACGCACGACACGAACCCGAAACCGAAGCAAATTTCTTGGTGGGGATTTCTCCGTTCCACTTCGATCTCACCCCCCAAACTCCGATCCCCTCCCCCTCCTTCATCCACCTGCACTCCTCCTCATCCTCGTATTCCTTTTCCTCCGAAGCCCGTCCGTACTTCGTCTCGCAGGAGGTCCAGGACCTTCAGCTGGAGATGTCTGGCCTCACATCTGAAGTGTCTTGAATGGCGCGTCGATGTAGGGTCTTCCCATCGAGAGTCTTCCCAGAGAAGTAGAGAAGAGCCACGCGCGAATGTCCCATCGAGGGAGGCGCAGGCGGCTCCTGAGACTCTGCCACGCAGTTGCCATTCGCTTGCCGCACGACTCTGCCTCGGCGCCAGCCAAAGGTCTGGCTCGGAGCGGTACTCGCGCCTCAGCGTTGGCCGCACTCCCAGTCTGGAATGGTGCACCTCCTCCGCCTCATCGTTCCTCCCCATCCTCGGTCTCGTCATCCTGCTGGTGCTGCTGCTGCTGCTGATCCTCCGCCTCCTCATCATCCTCATCACCACCACACCACCATCATCAACAACAGCATCGTCATCGCCATCGTCATCGTCGCCATCATCAGCAACATCATCGTCGGCATCGGCATCAGCATCGATATAATCACCGTAATCATCCTCATCAGCATCAGCAGCATCCAGCATCCTCATCTCAACATCACCCCCCTCATCCTCCTCATGATCATACTCATCAGCAGCAGCAGCATCATCAGCAGCATCATCAGCATCGTGAGCATTATCATCGTTTTCGTCATCAGCATCATCATAAGTAGCAGCAGCAGCATCATCATCAGCAACATCATAATCACCATCCCTATCAGCATCAGCATCGTCATCAGCATCATCAGCAACAGCATCATCAGTATCGTCATCATCATTATCATCATCAGGGTCGTCATCATCATCATCAGCAGCAGCAGCATCATCACCACAATCAGCATCACCATCATCAGCAGCATAAGCTTCATTATCATCATCAGCAGCAGCCGCATCAGCACCAGCATCATCCTCATCATCCTTATCAGCATGAGCATCGTCATCAGCATCATCAGCATCGTCATCATCATCACCATCATCATCATCAGGGTCGTCATCATCATCAGCATCATCAGCATCGTCACCATCAACACTACAATCACCATCACCATCGTCATCATCATCATCATCATCATCATCATCATCATCATCATCATCATCATCATCATCATAATCATCGTCATCATAATCATCATCATCATCAGCAGCAGCAGCAGCATCATCATTGTCCTCATTCATCTCCGCGGGAGAACAGGGGGCGGGATGGCCGCGGGGGGAGGGGGGCCAGTGGACAAGCGGATTACAGGCGGAAGCCACGATGTTTATATCCGGCCCAAACTGGGGCATGAGTGGTTCACAAGAGCCCCGAGTGGCTCAGGAGGGTCAGCAATCCGGGCTGAGTGGGCTCCGCCCACTTCGCTGAGTTATCGAACCCCCCCTAGTCCACGTGGAGCATGTGCATCCCACTTATTAGAGCCAGGGTGGGCCAGGTGAGAATAATCACCTTGGCATCCGCGTGGAAAACCCCAATCCCCTTACCAACCCCCACGGTCTTCCCTGAGCAGGGGGCAGCGCTCGGCGCAGCGCTGGTCGCGACGGCCACCCCTGAGATCCGACTTTGCTAACAAAAATCCCGGACCTCCCACGCAATGAGAAATTCGAGGCGGAGGTTCTTGTAGTTTGCCACGTCTTGGGACCCTCGACGGGCCCCGGGGCCGTCGAAAAACGGCGCAGGATGAGAAACTGGTCCAGGGGAATTGGGGACGGCGCATTGAAAAATTCAGAGCAGCGTCTGTGGGATTGCAGCATCGCGAATCATCAGATCATCATCTGCGACACTTTCCGGGCCGGTGCGAACAAAATGCACCGCCTGGATGGGGCGGTCATCGCGCGCCGCGGCCAGGGGCCAGAGAGGCGCCGCCCTTCCCCCGTGACGGGCCTCTCATGGGAAGGGCCGCGAAGGTCCCTCAGATCCGGGCATCGATTTTTCTCGCGCCAGGCGATGTCGCCCGGTTTCGGGCGCTATGGGACCTTCGCAGATCGATCCGGCTCGACAAATGGCGCAGAAAGATAGGGTCTAAGAAGGGTTTGGGTTCTCCCTGCGCTACGGTCGGACCGAGGTACAAGATCGAGGTCGACTCGGCAAGGGTATCCTGATGTTCTCCGTGTTCGTTGCATGTTCTTGTGCATCCTGGGGAAGGATACCCTCGGATGTCTTTCAGTTTGGCCGGGTTCTTGAAGAATGTTCTCTTGTCCTAGGTCCAGCCGCATTCCCCAGACCTCTCCCGGGGTGCGTCCTGACAAGAATTTCGCGGCGAATTCAGCCGTGGCGACGAAAGCTTCCCAGGTGGCCCAGATAGGCGAAAACGAAGGGAGGGTAGGGGTATCGGTACCCTATCCTCCTCCGATCTCCGCATCCACCCTCCCTGCCCCTTCCATTCGGAGCATCGGCTCGGCGCAAAACGCTGGCCTGGAAGGGGGTCAAGAAGCGTCGAGGAGAAGGTTCGAGAAGGAGGATCGGGGAGGATCGAGGATCGAGGGGGGGGGAGGATCGAGGAGTCGTCGTGGGCGGGCGTCGGCCGGCCGCACCCCCCCTGGTGGGCCCGCCGAGCAGCGCCGACAGCTCCGCCGGCTCGCAGGAGCTGCGGGCGGGCGCGCGGGTGGCCGTTGTGCGGGCGTGCAGGAGCCCGGGGCGGGCGGGAGGCCCAGGTCTGACCCCCTGGAGACCCTGGCGCTTCAGTTTTCTCGAGCCAGGCGTTTTCGCCGAGCTTCTCGCCCCAGGGCCTGCACGGATCCACCCAGCCAGGAAAGTGGCGCAGGAAGATGGGGTCTGGGGCCTTGGTCGTGATTGTTCACCGTGTTAGATTTTTGCTCGCGTCGTCGTCGGATCTCAGGGTCACCCAGGCGTGCTTTCGTCGTGCAAAGCCCGACAGAAGATTTTCGTTGACAGTTTCCGGCCTCCCTGGGGGCCCTCGCTGGGTCCTGGGACCGTCAAAACGACTCGGGATGAAAACCGGTCGCGGGAAAGGGGTGCAGAAATCCAGGGGCCAAGATCTCCGACGATGTCATGACTGTTGTTCCATGTGGGCGTTGCATTCTTTCCACACTGGGCTTTTTGTTCACCTGGTTCTGGCGATCCGGCTCGTGATTTTCCCATTTCGAAACGTCAGATCTCCGAGGATCTGATATTTTCAATCCGGGAGTTGTCCCCGATTTCGGCATCCTTCGGGACCTGCTCGGATGGGGGAAAGGGATCAAGGTTCGAGGAGAATCGAGGCTGAAGGTTGTTTGTAGTTTCTTCCGTTCTTGGCGGGTTTCCAGCCGCGGGATGCTGTTTTGCAGCTGCGCCTCGCCGAGAGTTCTCTGGGGGTGCCCAGATCTCCAACGATGATGATCCGATCTGTTCGATCCACGCGTTCTTCCTCGATTTCGGCATTCTCAGGCTCCAGGGGCTCTGGATATGCTTCCATTCCGGCGCTGCAGTGTTTTCACACCAGGCGTTTTCGCCCGGTTTCGGGACCCGGGACCTTCGAGGTCGAGCTGGCATGAAAAGCGTCGCAGGAAGATTGGTCTGAAGGGCTCCAGTCGTGATTGTCGCGACGTTCCAGCATGTCGCGACATCAGATGATTTGATGTTTTGAATCTGGGCATGTTTCTGACATGTTTCATCGCTTTAGGTCTCCTGAGGTCAGCTGTCGGGCCTTGGACAATCAAAAATATACCTGGGAGGAGAAATCACCCCCAGGGAAGCGGTCGGGACATTTGGATTGCAAAAATCAGACATCACACCAGTGGATGTAAATGGGGGTGGGAAGGGAAGGGGGGATACGAAGTTTGCTGCGTGCGGCTGGTTTCGCCTCCGCCGCCACCCCTTTCTCTTCGATCTACAATTGCGCCTCCGGCGCTGGGAGGCGCTGGGAAACTTGCTGCGTGAGCTGGTTCGCTGAGTCCCCCGTTCCCAGGGATCCAATGTTTTGTCGTTTTTTACACAGGCCCTTGCAGACAGTCGAGAGTTCAGTTTTCGAGTTGTTATGTGCGGTTTGTGGCGAACAAAAATATTCCCAACCCTCCTGTGGTGGGGTCCTCGTTTTCAAGCGACAGCGCCCTGCGTCACTTACTCCTTCCTCCTCCTCCCCTTTCTCCCTCCTCCCATTCCTGCCTCTGCCTTCCGATGTTGATGTCGGTCCTCGCACGTGACATGGCCCGATGGGGAGCTCCACCGAAGGCCCCAGCGGCAGGGTCCGCATGGCGGCCGCGCACCTCGGCACACCCCTCACACGTTTCGTGGCCCCACAGGGAGCCCCGCCGAAGGCCCCAGGTGCAGGGTCCGCATGGCGATCCCGCACCCATTTCGGCACACCCCTCACACGTTTCGTGGCCCCAGAGAGAACTGCCCCTCCTTCGTCCCACTTATAATTGTGTCCGTCGTGCAGATCATTTTAGTCGCACGGCGGTGATGGCTGCCATCAAGCAGAACGCCATTCCTTACTAGTCGCGCCGCGGTGATGGTTGCCATCGAGAAGAGCGCCTTTAAAGGTTCTGGAACTCCGCGTGGGCCTGGCGGACGGGGAGCCGCGGGTTCTTGAGCAGGGTTGCGGGCTCCCCATCTTGAATTTTGCGATGTGGATTGCTCCCGCGGTGTGGCCAAAATGCCACTGCCGCTCGAGACTTCCTTAGAAACGAGCGGGTTCTGGAGCGGTTTCCTGTAGGTTTCCTGCGGTTTCCGTAAAGTTCCTTTTCAATTTCTCCATGCACCGAGCGCACACACATCCTGAACGACGTGTTGATACCAGCTCAAGTTTCGGCACTGCTGCGTGAGGCGTCCTCGCCGAAACCGGTTGCGCTGCGATTCTACAGACATGTCCTCAGGATCCACCCGTGCTCTGGGCTGACCAGGACGCGCATCACGGCACAGTGGTCATTGCCACGTTTGGTTCCATGATGGCCACGACGACGCAGGCGCAACCGAGGTTCGCTCGGAAACAACGGCGTGCCCGAGCCAAAAAAACGCCCGCTCGAGCCACAATCGATGGGGAATCCATGTCTATGATGTTTTCGAATCCCCAGCGGCGGAGGGCAACTAAACATCGAAAGCAGAAACCTTCCCCTGTCTGAGAGGTCTCGACCCTTTCCCCGGGGCCGGTTTTTCGTACCGAGCCGTTTGCTGACAGTCTCCCCCAGGGCCCAGCGACGGGGCCGAGAATTGGCAACAACTCTCCGTGGTGTCGTTGTTTGGGTGTGTCTGAGTTTGTTGGCCTCCTCTTGGACTTGTTAGCTTCCTCTTCCGCCGACCCGAAGGACAAACTCCCGGGAGGCCTCGGAGCTCCGCGCGGGGCAGCAGGGCGTGGTCATCAGCATCGACCCCGGTGGCGACGCGCTCGTGGACTTCGACGACCTGCCGCTGGCAGAGTGGGTGTTCAGGCCGCCCCCTCGTTCGGTTAGGTTTTCTGCCGTTTTCGCCGTCTGAAGGTTTTCCCGCCTCGGGATGCTCACCAGCAGATGCGCCTCGGCGAGAGCGTTCCGGGGGTGCCCAAATCGTCCCAAACGGCCGCTGGAGATTTGATTGAGTTATGGCCCGAAATCCAAACCCCCTCGCGTCGCTGAAAAATCGCGACGCTGGTTTGTTCCTATTTTCGGCCTCCAGGGAACCGCGTCGGGCCCCCAGGACAGCGAAAGAGCGACCCAGGACGAAAAGCTGTCCCTGGGGATCGGGTCGGGACGTCCAGGGGCCCCGCATCTAACATAATCGAGATATCGCATGTCTGGGTCTGGTACAGTCGGACCGAGGTATAAGATCGAGATCGGTTCGGGGAGGGTACCCTACTGCTCTTCGTGTCAGGGTCGTCTTGTCGGCGTCCCCGGGGTGTTCCCACCCCGTGGCTTCCCAGCGGCTCTGCAGGCCTGCTCATGAGGACCGGCTCGCCATCCCGAGCCGTCGCCTGACGGTCCCCGGGGCCCGGCGTGGGCCCCCGGGAGGCCGAAGATCACAGGAACAAAACAGAAAACAACAACAAGCAAACAACAACAATCTGGAGGGGAAAAAAGCACACAGACACAAGTAATCGTCGACTCCCCAGGAAAATATGGGAAGTAAGGGGAAGACAAAAACCCTGAAAATATGAGAAAATATGGGGGATCCTGTTGTTTGTGTGTATTTATTTGTGTGGCCCAGGGCCGCTTCAAACATCACTAAAGTCATGTGTGCTGCCACGACGCGGGAAGGTTCGGGGTCTCCAGGCCGACCCCATCTACTCGGACCCCATTTCGGAGGCATCTATGATCACTCCTTCCGCTCCGTCCACCTCCCATCCCTCGCAGAATAGAAACGGCATTAGCAGAAATTTCAGAGGTTCGCGCGGACTTGTTGGATCGGCGCTGGGGCCCCACCTTGTCGCGCGGAGAGCGCCGGGAGCGGTGCCGGAGGCGCGGTCGATCCGAGAAAACCACGCGGATTTCCGGAAGTTGTTGTGTGTTCTTGTTGTTTCGGGTTCCATGCCGATTTTGCCCGACTCGATCCACGTTCCGATCCGATCCGATTTATATGATTCGATGTTGGCCGCTCCCACTTTCACTGCCCCACCTCTCTCTCTCCCATCCACCTTTCCTCTCCCTCCCCACGTCTCCCTTCCCTCCCCTCCCCCGCCCTCCTCACCTCCTGCCCCCCACCTCTTCTCAGTCCTTCTCCCACATACCTTCACCCTTCACCCTCCCCTCAAGCAGGTGCGGCCCGAGTCCCATCCTTAACATTTGGTTTTGCGATGGGCCCCAGGTCGCGTCCAGCGCCTTCACGTGGCACTCGGGGGGCTCCGATTCTTGCCGCGGTTTTGTCTTTGCAGCAGCTGTCGAAAGGCGAGACAGGACGAGTTCGTCGAGTACGGTTTTTTAATTCGCTGGGCTTGATATGGAGTTGTATCGATTGCGCTCGAGGGGTGTCCATAGATTCTGAAACGCATGCCTGCATGTCCACGCATCGCTCAGTACCACTTGAAGTTTAACATGTTCATCCGCGTGGTGGCGCTCGTGTGTCCGGGTCGGAATTACCCGTGGTCAGTGGTATGTTTGGTCTGTGTTTGTTTGTGTTTCAACTTGTCGTTCACGGGCAGAGGTAGTTATACGCTGCTTCACGCTCTGGAAACTTATTCCACGTGCGGACGACGCCGAGGAGCATGAGGCACGTCCAATAAGGTGAAGGGTTTGTCCTAAAATTTGTGTCCATGCTGGTTTCAACTGGTAGGCAGCGATGTTTCATCATGCCTGTTGCTTTGCGGTGGCTTCCATGTGTGTGGCACGCTGGCCGGGCCGTGGTATGTCACGTTCGCTCTGATCTGAAAGGTTGATTGTCAGCCGCGATATTTCGTGGAGTTCGTCGTCCAGTGCGCGCTCCGCGAGCTCACGGCACGCGCATTGCAGTAGAATGCGATGTACTACGACATGGTGATGGCGTCGAGTCCACTCCACCCTTCACACCCCCCTCCCTTTACCCCTCCTTCCCCAGCCTATTGGCCCCACCCAGCTCGCCACCCTTTTTCGTTTTTTCCCCATCCCCCTTCCAGTCCACTTCCTTCCAACCTACAATATGCACGTCAAATAAGAAGCTGACCTTCTCGCAGGTGCCCCACGGAAGGTTCTTATCCCTCCAGGGCCTCAGTGATTCAGCGTGGGTCCCAGAAGTGGGGCCCGCACGGAGCGCCTGGGAGGCCCGTATGAGGGCATTCCTCATTTTGTAGTGCACGATCGTGCCACCAACGGATATAGGTCCACGTGTTGTTGGTCTTCCAGTAAACACCGATGGGAGTTGGCAAAGCAGCTTTGCCCCATGCCGCATGGGACAGGTCACGTTGTGCGACGAGTGGGGCAATTTGCATTCTGCCATCAATGCGGAGCCCACTCGTCGACCAACGTCTCTCACTTCAGTAGACTTTGCCGTAAGAAACCTACGTCTGAGATTATGATATGTCGCCTCCAGCTTTCGATGGACGGGCGACACCCTGGGACAGGAGCCACAATTGGTGATGTCCATCTGGTGTGAACGACCTTTCAGGGTAACTTTGCATTAGCCCGTTACAGGGGTCCCTGATGTTTGTGTTCTCCTCTTGCTCCTGTTTCGTGGGACGTGCCGGTTTCGTGGCGCGCCTTATCCAGCCCAGTCCAGTCCTCCTCCCCCTCCTCCTCCTCCTCCTCCTCATCCTCCTCCTCCTACTCCTCCTCCTCCTCCTCCGCCCCATTCCTCCCCTCAAGACCCTTCCTCCCTCTGCCCTCCTGCCCTGAGCCTGCCCCAGGCGGAACATGCACAAGCTCCGCGTCGTGGAAGAGGGCCCGGCGGAGGACCCGACGGAGGACCCCACGGAGGATGAGGATGATCAGGAGGAGGAAGAAGAGGAGGTGAAGAGAGTCAACGATCATGGGGCAGGTCCAGAGGTGACAGGAAGAGCGAGGCTCGTCCCTTCCATCTTTCTCGCGTTGTTTTCTCAAAGCTGTTTGCGCTCCTGCTTCGCACAATGAAATGAGAGCGTTTCCGACCACGTTCCGAGCGAGGGTTATCAGTGGCATCTTCACGCCCGCGCAGCCCGATGTTGTCCGTCCTACTGTTGCCTGACGTAGGACTCGGTGCGCTCAGGGATTCGCTCGAGGGGGAGGTGAAGGATGAGGAGGAGGGGGAGGAGGTTAAACGAGGATTGGCTTATGTTCGCAGTTGGGTGCAAGGACGGTTCCTCCTTGGGAGAACATTTGGGCAAGGCTGAACGAGTGGGGGAGACCTGGTTCAAGACCCGAACACGGGAAGGATAACGAGCCCACGGAATTGTCCAGTCAAGGCTGAACGGTCGTACGACTGATCCGCTGAACAGGTGTCTCAACAAAAAAAAGCTCGCCTCACTGTCTTTCTTCCCCCTTCACCATGCAAAAAAATCTGGACGAGGAGGGGAAAGTGGAGAGGGAAGGAGCAGCAGGAGGAGGAGGGAAACACAATGGGAGGAAGAGTATCCGCGGGACAGTTTTAGTGCTACGAGTAATCATCCTCCAGTTCCCCCTCCCGCCGATGCCTGGGATTTAGGCAACCACATAAACCCTGGGCTGGAGAGTCGTTACTGTTCGTTCCCTCCTGCCTTCTTTTAACCCGCCCACCGCCTGCCGTTGCGGGCGTTTGGCTCAAGCACTTGCGGAGCGCAGCTAACGCTTCGCTGCTGTTGGAAAAAAGGGTGCGGCGCGCGCGCCGCCGTGTCGTCCGCCAACGTCAACGATCAGATCATCCCAAAAACGTTCGTGAAAGGACTACTGGGCCAGGAGAAAAGGATGAGGAGACATCGCATGTTTCAGGTTGTAGTGAATACAGGTTATCAGCCGAAAGATTGCAGGGTGATATCCAATCCGTTAAGCAAGGTGACGAATATCACCGCAGCTGCAATACGACAAGCAGCGAGCAGCGGTGGTGAGATACCAGATGAAACCCTGGCCGATCTCGCGAAGTCAGTACTACGGGAAGTAAGCTCCAGCGTGCACCACGCTATCTGTACTCCCGGACTGAAAACCCACGAACACCCCACAAAGTCAGAAACAACATGAGAATCCTTGCGAGATCTTGATCAGGTGTCGCGGCCTCGTCGACTTCCCTGTATATACCCAGAGTGCCGATCTAGACCAGACCCAGGTAAACGTGAACCAATACAAACGGTCGATGTTGCGGCATCGGTGTCGAAAGACGAACGGAATGCTCCGGGAGCGCACGTTACAGCATATGGGCCGGACTCCCCATGGGAAGAGCAAGTCGGGATTGACGACGCGAATCCTTACGTCATGCAGGATAATCAAAGTGCTCCAGATGACCTCGTCCTCCTCCCTCACTCCCTCCCTCCCTCCCTCCTCCTCCTCCTCCTCCTCCTTTTCCTCCTCCTCCTCCTCCTCCTCCTCCTCCTCATCATCATCATCATCATCATCATCATCATCATCATCATCATCTTCTGTTTGCCTCCGCGGGTCGCGCCGCAGGTGCAGACCGGTCCAAGCAGGGCCGCCGAGGCGGACAAAGAGCGAAGGGCCACGCCTAGAGCGCGCAGAATGGGCGTCCAAAGGGACGCAAGCCCAGAGGAGTGGCGCCAAGGGAGGCCGCGGGGATGCCCGGACCAAGGGCAAAGGGAGGGACGAACTTGGGGAGGGAGGGAAAGGGGCGAAGCCAGGAACGGGGCAAAGCCGAAGCGGAGCAGGGACAAGGGAGGAGGAGCCTGAAAGCGAAGGGCGGGGAAAGTGGCAGGGAATAAACAAGGAGAGGAACCGCAAGGCAAAGAAGCAGCGGCGTCCGAACGGACGCGAACGCGACAACCGACCAGGGGCAAGGGCGACAGCACGACACGACACGACACGACGACGACCACAACGACGACCAAGAACCGCTTTCATTCCCTACCTAGGCTCTGCCTAGAAGGGTTCTTACTCTCTAGCTTAAGGGGGCCGGGCAGTGGAAAGCGCCCCGGGCGGTTCCCCCAGTCCCCGCCCCGCGGTTCCCCCAGTCCCCTGGGAGTTGTTGCTTTTGCTTTAGCTGTAGCTTTTGCTTTAGCGTTAGCTTTAGCTTAGCTTTAACTTAGTTTTAGATTTTGTTTAGCTTTAGCTTAGCTTTAGCTTTAGCTTAGCTGCAGCTTAGCTGTAGCTTAGCTTTAGCTTAGCTTTAGCTTAGCTTTAGCTTAGCTTTGGCTTAGCTTTAGCTTGGCGTTAGTTTGGCTTTAGCTTGGTTTTAACGTAGCTTGACCTTAGATTTAGCTTTACTTTAGCTTAGCTTTAGCTTAGCTTTAGCTCAGTTTCAGCCTTGCTTTAGCTTAGCTGTAGCTTAGCTTTGGCTTAGCTGTAGCTTAGCTTAGCTTTAGAATTAGCTTAGCTTTAGCTTAGCTTTAGCTTAGCTTTAACTGAGCTTTACTGTTACTGCTAATGTTGCTTTCCTAGGGGCTCCAACTCCTAGGTAGGGTCGCACTGGGATAATTTTGTTAGTAGCATTATTCTTGTGTTATTGTTATTATTAATAATATCACTCTTCTTCTTAATCGTATCATTGTTATTATTATTAGTGATATGTTTGTGATTAGCATCATTATTATTCGTATGTGTCCTCGTATTGGTATTATTAGTAGTCTTTCTTCCCTACCTAGGCTCTGCCTAGAAGGGTTCTTCCTATTGAGCTTAAAGGGCCGGGCAGTGGAACCCGCCCCGGGCGGTTCCCCCGGCATCCGCCCCGCGGTTCCCCCAGCTACGTCCCCTTAGCTTAGCATTGCTTATCTCATCTTAGCTTAGCTTATTTCATCTTAGCTTAGCTTAGCGTCATCTTAGCTCAGGTTTATCTTAGTTTAGCTTACCTTCATCTTAGCTTCGCTGAGCTTTAGCATAGCAGAGCACAGCATAGCATAGCGTAGCATAGCATAGCGCAGCACAGCATATCGTAGCATAGCCCAGCATAGCATAGCATAGCGCAGCATAGCATAGCATAGCATAGCATAGCATAGCATAGCATAGCGCAGCACAGCACAGCACAGCATAGCACAGCGCAGAAGAGCATAGCATAGCATAGCATAGCAGAGCATAGCATAGCACAGCAGCCAAGCAAAGGCAAAGCAACAGCAGCGACAGCAAAGCAAAGCACAAGCAATTCAAAGCAAAGCAAATCCAACACAAAAGCAGAGCAAAGGAAAGGCACAGCAAAAGCATGTGCCGACAGATGCCGAGCTAGCGACAGATGCCAATGGGCAAAGCAATTTGCATGGGTGTAATTCCCGACCTAGGCTCTGCCTAGAGGGTTAGCTTAGCTTAGTTTCGCTTATCTTAGCTTAGCATAGCGCAGCGCTGCATTAGCATAGCATTTCATAGCATAGCATAGCACAGCATAGCATATCATAGCATAGCATAGCATAGCGCAGCTTAGCATAGCATAGCTTAGCATAGCACAGCGCAGCATGACATATCACAGCTTAGCTTAGCATTTCATGGCATATCATAGCATAGCATATAAACTAATGCTGCTTTCCTAGGGGCTCCAACTTCTAGGTAGGGTCGCACGGGGGTAGTATTATTCGGATTCGTATTATTACTCTTCGTATTCATAGTAGTATTATTCGTATTAGTGCGATTCGTATGTTTAGTAATCTGCTTACGCTTCTTAATACTAGTCTTATTGTCGGTATTGTTCGTAATAGTCTTCTTCGTGGTATTGTGTTTACGCTTCTTACGCTTGTGCGTATCATTTTGATTCGTATTATTAGTCGCATTATTATGTTCATCATTACTATTATCATTATGGGTATGATTCCTCTTACTGTTACTATGAGTATTATTATTATGATTGTTATTATTCCTCCTCCTCCTCCGTCTCCTTCCCTCCCTCCGTCTCCTTCCCTCCCTCCCTCCCGCCATGGCTCCAGGGGTTCCCAGAAAGGACCGGCACCAGCGAACGGGGCCCCTGGGGCGGCCGGAGCGGTCGATCCGATCGTACCCGCGCACCGGACACCGCTGCCTCAGGCGAGGGGCCCCACATTAGTTCATTGATTATCAGGAGGAGAAAGAGGAGGAGGCGAGGAGGAGGAGGGAGAAGGACGACGGGGGGCGGGGGCTTTCGGGGCGGGCGTGGTTCTGGTCGCGGCCGTGGTCGTCGGCGAAGTGAACGCGGACCCAGTCGTGGTGTTGGTTGTGGTGAGCGTCGCGCTGCCGCTGGTGGTGGTCGTGTTGGCGGTGGTCGTGGTGGTTGTCGTGCTGGCGGTCGTCGCGGAGGGACGGCGGGGGGCGGAGGCGGTCGGGGCGGTCGTGGTGGTGGTCATGCCCGTGGCCGTCGGCGCTGCGACCACGGAGTCAATTCTGGCGGTGGACGTGGTGATCGTCGCGCTGCCGCTGGTGGTGGCCATGGTGGTGGCGATGGTCGTGGTGGTTGTCGTGCTGACGGTTGTCGCAGTCCCTCCCTCCCTCCCTTCCTCCACGCGAGAGGACCCCGCCGGGGACCATCCTCATTCCGCCCGGGCCGGCTGCCACCCGTTGCTGGCGCTGGCGGCCCGCTGGCACGGGCGCAAGGCTCGGGCGGCGGCGGCGACAAGTACGAGGGCGAAGGGGGAGGCAGGCGGGGGAGGGGGGGAGGGAGGAGGTAAGAAACAGGAGGGAGGAGGGACGAGCAGGGGGAGGAAGAGGAGGAGGAGGAGGTGGAGGAAGAGAGGAGGAGGAACAGGAGGAGGAGGAGGAGGGGGAGGGAGGAGGAGGAGAGAAGGGGGAGGAGACGGAGGGAAGAGTAGGTGGAGGAGGGGGAGGAGGAGGGAGGAGGAGGTGGAGGAGGAGGAGGAGAAGGAGGAGGAGGAGAAGGAGGGGAAAAGTATGAAAGAGGAGGAAGGAGTAGGGAGAGGGGGAGGGGAAGGGGGAGTTGGAGGAGGGATGGGGGACGGGAGGGAAGAGGAGGCGGAGGAGGAAAAGAAGGAGGCGGAGGACGAGGAGGAGGGGGGAGAGGAGGAGGAAAAGGAGGAGGAGGTGGAAGAGGAAAAAAAGGAGGACGGAGGGAGGCAGAGAGGGAGGAGGAGGAGGAGGAGGAGGAGGAAGAGGAGGGGGAGGGGGAGGGGGAGGAGCGAGGAGGAGGACGGGGAGGACGAGGAGGGGGAGGAGGAGGAAGAGGAGGAGGAGGAGGAGGCTCAAGGCCCGAGACTTACTGGGGGTATGCGCGTCGCCCTCAGGCGGGCAACCGCGACGAGATACTCCCCAACGCACATCTCACACATTACGTCCTTGTTCCCGTACTTCCCGTTCCACCCTTACCGAAATTGCGTTGAGGATTGTACCCTCTTACTATTCACAAGCACACATGTGTGTTGACCTTGCGACGTTCCAAAACATCTGCTGACCTCGTGGCGGCTTCTGTAGACAGAACAATGCGGGCTACAATCAGAATTTGCAGCAAAATCACCCCGGTCAGTTTCGAGCGATTTGATGATTAAAAACGGCGCATCTGAGATCGGAGGACGCACATATTTCGCGCACAAACATTACGTCGGCATTCAAGCAGTTCTGACTTTTCGGCAATTCACAATGCGTCTCTCAGGGCCAGACACCACACGGACAGCATCTCATTGTTCGTGGCACGTCTGGTTTGATTGCGAGCGCTGAGGAAGATATTCCTGTCAATAGGTTACTGCTGCCCGAGATTGCTCCCAGCGCTGGCGTCATCGCATCGCGCCGCCGCCCTTGCATTCACCGCGCGTCAATCCGCGCAACTTGTGAATGACAGCGAGCTCCAGTTTTCGCTGAACCCGCCCAACTTACGGACGACTGCAACGGGGCTAGCTGGACAAATTCGGAAGGTTGGACACCAAGTGGTTTACAAGATTTGCTTGTCGCCCGACGGATGGTTGCCCCTCATTGTACACGCGTGAGTGGATTCCATTCTCTACCCCAGCCTGCCACAGAGCCTGCGCCACGGCAGCAGCGGCGACCGTTGACCTCGAAGAAACGGTAGAAGACTCTGAGGTTTCTGGGGGAGGTGGAGGCCGCGTTGTCTCCGACATCCTCGGATACCCACGTTATATACGTTCACAGTTGCATTTCCCCTGGCCCAGGTGGATTCGGCAAGGAGAAGGGGCCCCACCGCAGTGGGAAAGGCTTTTTACCGTCAGTTGTCTAGCGCACATGACGACCGTTACGACGCATCGGATTACGCCGTCGATGAATGCGCGGCAGGAGCCGCGCCTGCCGGAGCGCGTTTGGCGCGACTGGAGATCGGTGGGTAAAGGAAAAATTTCCTGCGCGCGCTCTCGTTTGATGTCTGGCCCTTCAAGCATGACGTTTGTTCGCGCGTTCACGCCGTTGGGTTCCCCCGCGCGCGCGCGCTGCCGCGCTGTCGCGCGCGCGCGGCCCGCGCCCGCCAGCGCGCGTTCGACGCGACTGGAGATCGCAGGACGCTCGAGCGCGTGCCGGGGCGATGAGCGGGAGGGGCGCCGCGACGGAGGGGGTTGGCGGGGGGCGAAGGCGCAGTTCAGCGTGGACCCGCTCGTCGGCCCGCGCCGCTTCCAAATTCGCGGCCGCGGCGCGGCGGCGCCTCGAGGCGCGCGGCCGGCAGTGCAAATCATAGCGGCGACATCCCTCAGCGATTCTCTCGCGGGGGGGGGTTCTCGCCGCCGCCGGTCTCTGTCTGAGGCGCAGAGAGGTCGCCGCGGAGGAGCGGGGCGCGGGCCGGGGCGGCGGGGTGGAGGACAACGCTCGGCGCGGATCGCGCATCGACCCGCTGCGCCAGCTGCGCCGCGCGCTGGCACCGCCCAGGCCGGCCCGCGAGAACTATGCCAGCCTTCCTATGTAATCAACGCTGTTTACACACATTTGAACGTTTTATTCGTTGTTCGTTCTGCATTTAGAGGAAACCTAGAACGTCGTTCGATTGAGGCGCGCACTTGGGCGCCTTGCAGCTTCGGCCGCTGGGGGCCGGCGCTGAACCGTGACATAGCGCGCCAAAATCACCGGGGAGGTTCGGGGCGAACCAGGAAACCTTTGCGGGGCTCGCAGGCACAGGCAAGGACCCCCTGAGCGACGCCCTCGGCGAGGGCCATTTGATATTCAGGATTGGGGGGGTGGGTTCAGGGGGGCGGCGGGGGGGGCGTCGCCCTTGCCACGCCCGGGCGCTGCAGCATATTCTTGCCCCTCTGCTGTTCCCAAGCGCCGCGCGCGCCCCGGTTCTCTACAACGCGCGCGGCTGCAGCGCCGGGGCTTGCACTGCAACTGACCGGTCTTCCTCTCGCAAGAACTCCACAGCTCCACGCTTCGACTGGCCCATCGCAAAAGGGGGTGGGGGGGGGGGGGCGGGGCGAAGGAGCGCGGGAGGAAGGGGGGCAGGCAGGGAGGGGGGGAGGGGGCGCAAATGAGAGGGGGGGGGGGGGGGGGCGAAGGAAGGGGGGCAATAGAAGGGGGGGGGAGGAGGGGGGAAGGAGGAGGGGAGGGCGAGGAGGAGAAGGAGGCGGAAGAGGAACCACTGCGCGTCACGCAATTTTGAAGAATCGGCTGCCTTGCGGCGACCAGCCCCCGGGCGGGCACTGGGCGCCCGCGATCAACGCGTACTTCTCTTGAGATAGATGTCAGAGGCCGCAGAATTGCCACGGTTATAGCGCGCGCCCCCCCCCCCCCCCCCCCCCCCACCGCCCCACTTCAGCGACAGGAGGCCGACATCAACTCCGGGTACTACCACCAACGAAAAAACACACATGCTCACGAAACACCTACGCCTGTAGCCGGGCCGCAACATTGCCATCGGCGCCATCCAAGCAACAGACGGCAACCCAACACACACACACACACACACACACACACACACACACACACACACACACACACACACACGCATACCCACACACACACACACGCACATACCACGACATCGCACAATAACTTGGGAAACATTGGGGCCGAGTCTTCACGCGACAACCGATCAACCCCCGCGTCTTGGAGCGCTGGAATGCCTTCCTCTTAAAGTTCCACCCCCCTCCCCCGCGCCGAGAGCAGGCGCTTCTCCGACCCGCTCTGCCGTCGCAGACCGCCCCCCCCCCCCCTGCCCCGCGCCCCCCCCTCGACACAAACACCCCCGCAACCCGCTACCCCGCGACCGCGGCCAGGCCGCCCGCGTCGCCACCGCGCCCGTCCGCCCGTAGACAAATCCCGAGACAAGTTGGCACCGCGAGAGGCGGATGCGGAGCCCGCCGCGCAATGCTCGGGCAACAGCACGCCAAGCTCAGACGGGACCCCACGCAGCCCTTGGCGGCGCAGCGGCTGGATCGCCACGCCGGCCTTTATGGAGGCCGCCGACGCTCTCCAGAGCGCCCCCAGGGATACCTACCTCTACGAATTCAACGGCGACAACGACTCAGCACGCCACGACTTCAACTTGGGAGCTCTCGTGTGTATGGGGAAAAAACTTGACCAGCAACCCGACCTATGGATTGTCTACGCGGCGGACAGCGCGCGCCCGTTGTCCATCGCGAACGCAGACAACAGGGTCATAGCGAGCGCTGCGCGGGGGCGTTGGCGACCACCCATCAACGCATTGGTCGGCCCACCGCAGCGGGGTTTCCTGCAGCACCGCCCATCATTGAAGAACGTGTTCGGCGTCGACTTTGCCGGCGTGACCACTGCGCTCCAATCGGGCTCCGGCGACATCGCCCCCTTCGACTTCGCATCCGTTTTCCCGTCGTTGTCGCGGGGGTGCTCGCGCGACATCCCGCGCCAACTGAGACTGCCAGCGACGGCCCGCGGCCTTGCGAGCCACCTGCGCAACAACAACCGGCGCCAGATTGCGCGGAGGTGTTGCCGGGCAAGAACGAGGCCACTTGCTCGGGCATCCTGGCACGCGCCAGCGTTGATAACACCGCCGCTACCAATGCTAATTTTACGGGGGGCGCCCCTCGACTGGCAGCCCTGTTCGACAAATTTGCAGCCATGTCTGGATTGTGCCTTAACTTGTCGAAGACGGTCGCCATTCCGTCGTTCGCCTTCCCGCCCCCGGCGGCGCGGTCTCGCCTCGACGCGCCGGCGCCGAGTCGGTCTACCACCCGGGCGGCTTTCGCCGGGAATCGCCCGGGATTCTACGCGGGCCCGCAAAGCCAGGACTTGCTCTGCAAGGACCCGGCGGCGAAGTTCAAACAACGCGCCTCTCTGCGAGCAGGCCGCCCGCTAGGGCCCCATTGCTGCGCGCTCGCGTGCAACGCCTTTGAGATCTCTGCATTTGCCTCTGCGGCACAACTCAGCGAACCGACGGGGGGGGCCATCAACGCGGAGCTTCAACGTCCACGACGAGCCGCCCCTGGCCCAGGCAATTGGGCCACCCAGGAAGATCTACAGCGGCCGCAGCTGCAGCGCTCTCACGGTTTTCCACGCGCGTTTCCGAGGCCTTCGATTTACCGCGCAAGCAGCAAAACTGCGCGCGCGACCGCGGGGCGCAGCCCGCGGCGGCCACCCCGCTGAGCACGGCGCCCCCTTGGACGCCCACCTCCTGGGAGACGGCGCGCGCCCCCCTACCCTCGCCGACCGCCCCCCCTCCGCCCGCGCCCGCGCCCGCCCTTCCCTCGCCCCCACCCGCGCGCGCCGCGCGCGCAATTTCAACCGACGCACTCGGCCCCTCAGATCACGACCGACCGCTCGCAGGAGCGACCCGCGCGGGGCCGATGGTTCCAGCATTCATGCCACCCCCGCTCGGGCGCGAATTTTTCTGGCACGACGGCGCAGCTGGGGGCGCATGAGACGGCGCGCACTTCCGAATTGCGCGCCGCTGAGACTTGGCCGAGACTTGTTTCCTCGATCCTGACCCCCTCTTCCTTCCGCCCGGCAGGCCCCCGCCCGCCCCCCCCCGCCCCGTTCGGGCCCACTGCGCCAGCTATTATGGCGGGGGTGGGGCAGTGAGTTAAAGGAGGAGAAGATTGCAATCATTGCGGGCGGGCGGTTGCTGCCCGCGAAACCTGTCGCGGCTCGAGCACTTCGACGTTGTGGCGCATGTTCGAGCGCAGCGGCCCCCGAGACGAAGCGCGGCCGAGCGTCGACCCGCTCTTCAGTTTGGCCCGCTCCGCCCCCGAATTCCTGGCCACGGCGGCGGGCCCCTGGGGTGCGCGGCCAGCGTTGCAGATTATGGAGTCGGCATCTCCCAGTTGTTCCGCGCGCGTGGGAGGCCGTTTCTCTCCGCCGCCAGCCCGGCGCCCGAAGCGCAGCAGGGGCGGCGCAGTGGGGGCGGAGTGGTTGCGGAGTGGCGGAGGAGGCGGAGACGGCATTCACTGGGCGCCAGGCTGCTTCCTTTTGAGACCCGTCGACGACAGAACGCGTTGACGTTGCGGCGCGCATTCCAGCGCGGCGGCTTCCCGAGACGAGCAGCGGCTGGATCCAGCCCCGATTCTCGGCCCGCTCCGCCCCTATCGACCACGGCCGGAATCTCTCAGTCGCCTCGCGCGCGCAGGAAGGAGCTCCTCGACGCCGTCCGTTTTGCCCCCGATGTGCAAAGCGGCAGGGCCCGGCGAGAAGACAGTGGTGGAGTGGGAAAAATTCATTGCGAGCGATCGGCGCTTCCTCTGCAACCTTCCGCGGGCCGGCCACCTCGACGTCGCGGCGCATGCTCGAGCGCGGCGGCGCGAGAAACGAACGGCGGCCGAACGCGGCCCCGCTCCTGCGCCCGCCCCGCCTCCGCGCGCCCGGCCGCGGCAGCAGGCGCCTGAAGCGCGCGCCCACCAAGGCAGACTAGCGAGTCCGCATCTCTCTATTGATCTGCGCGCGTGGCACGCCGTTCACGCCCGCCGCAACTGATGGCGCCTGAGGCGCAGAAGGGGGCGGCGCGGTCGATGCGGAGTAGATGCGGAGTGGCGGCGGAGGCGGAGATGGCATTCAGCGGGCGCCAGGTTGCTTCCTTTGATACGCGTCGCGGACAGAACGCGCTGAAATTGCGGCGCATGCACCAGCGCAGCGTTTTCCCGAGACGAGCCGCGGCTGAATGTAGGCCCGGCTTTCGGTCCGCGCCGCCCCCACGGACCGCGGGGTCGGCATCTCTCAGTTGCCTGGCGCGCGTGGGAAGGAGCTTCCACGCGCCATCAGCTTCGCCCCCGAAGTGCAAAGAGGGCCAGGGCCGGATGAAGAGGCAGCGGTGGGGCAGAAGGCAATCGCGGCAAGCGGCCGGCGCTTCTCCTGCAACCTGCCACGGGCCGACCACCTCGATGTCGCGGCTCGTGCTCGAGCGCGGCGGCGCGCGAAACGAACGGCGGCTGAATGCGGCCCCGCTTCTCCGGCCGCACCGCCCCCATTTGCCAGGCCGCGGCGGCGGTCGCTCGAAGCGCGCGGCCATTGAGGCAGATTAGGGAGTCAGGATCTCCCCGGTGATCTGCGCGCACGGGAGGCCGTTCTCATCCGCCGCCACTCACGGCGCCCGAGGCGCAGCGGGGGATGAATGGAGTAGGCGGATGGGCCGGCGGCGGCGGATCCGGAGGGCAGCTCGCCGTCCAGTTCGCGCGCGATTTGACTTCCTGTCGTTGCGTTCGGAGCGCGACAACGAGCCGCTGCCGCTTCAACCATCGGCGGGGGCAATCGCAGAGAACGCGTCATGATTATGAGGTTCGTTGCCGGAGAGATGGAGGGCGACGGCTCGACCAGCCGCCTTCGCGAATGGAAAGTTTGCAAGTTTGGGCCGCGAAGTGCAGTTCAGGCCCGTGCTACCATTCGCGCGCCACTCTCAATACTCGCACTGTGAACACCGAGCATCAGAAGCTTCAGCTTTGCATATCACAATTTTCAATGGCGCCCCACTGAGCGAGTCGACCGCCGCGCGCGCCGACGCCTGATTTACGCAGCGGCAAGCCGTGCATAGCACGACCTTGACGCGTCGGATTTCCAGCTGCTCTCGGCGAGGGTTAGAATCGAAGACTGCCCTCGGCGATGGCCCTGGCCACGTGCTGGACCGGTTGGGCAGGCGGAGTAACGCGAGGGTGGCGGGGGATCGGCATTCGTCTGAGCTCGGCCTCGCTGCGCTGAATTGCCCGAGCGACATGCCCAAGAGGGATGCGCAGAGCATCGCGGCATTGGCTCTGGAACCCCCTCGCCGAGGGGCCCGCCATGGAATTTTTGGATGCGCGAGGCTTTGGGGGGGGGGCGGGATGCGAAGTGCGGGGGGCAATGGCGCGCCCGACGAAGGCTAGCCTTTGCACCGACCTCCCCTTTTTTTTACTTGCGCGCGTATTTCATTAACTCTGCACGGTGCGTCCCCCGTAATTTGTTATAGCTTTGTTCGTGTATTTGTTTGGCATTGTGAAATCGTCTCTCTCTCTCTCTCTCTCTTTCTCTTTCTCTCTCCCTCCCCTCACATCGGCGGCAGACGTCGCTGCTCTACGCCATTCGGGCACGCAGCTTTTACGCGTGCTCTTCGAAGCTCCTGTTCCGCATCGGCTTGCCGCCCTATTCGCTTTAAATGGTTTAGCACTACGCTAAGTCGGTTTTTTTTTCCGGCATCAGGTGCTACCCGATAACGCAACCGGCCCCGCCTCATAAAAGGCCTAACTAACGTCAGAAAGGAGGCGGAGGAGGAAAAATGGGGCACAGCACGGCACGGCGGCGGCCACGGAACGGCAGCGGCGACGACGCTCTGCGCCCGCAGAGGCCGCGGCATCCGTCGCACCCCGCGCCGCCAGCGCCGCCGCGGGCGCCCGCGGTGGCGCGGCCGCCGCCGGTCTGGGGGAGCTGCCGCTGGGCCCAGAGGCTTCGGGGCGGACGATTTTTTGTTTTTCGTTGCGTCGGGCGGTCGAGGTGAGCCCACTTCGCCCCTCCTCCCCGGATTCTTTATCATCATCCCTCCTCCTCGCTCCTCCTCCTTCTCGCTCCTCATACTCGCTCTTCGCCCCTCGCCCGTCGTTCCTCGACCCTCGTTCCTCGCTCCTCCCCCTCATCCCCCTCTTTTGCCTTTTCCTCCTCCTCCTGTTCCTCATATTCCTCCTTATTATTATTACTACTACTACTACTACTACTACTACTACTACTACTACTACTACTACTACGACTACTACGACTACTACTACTACTACTACTACTACTACTACTACTACTACTACTACTACTACCACCACTACTACTACTACTTACTACTACTTACTACTAACTACTACTACTACTACTACTACTACTACTACTACTACTACTACTACTA